TTCATATAATATTTTATATCAGCCAGTTGAAATATGTGCCATCTTGGGGTGAAGGTTCTAGTGACTCCTTGATGTATATGGTTATAAATGATGGATCAAAATCTTGAGTAAAGTTACCAAAACAATATGATAGCTAGTTGAACTTATCCTTAGGACAAGGATTTTGTTAAGGGGGAAGATAAATTGTTAGGCACCAAATTTGACCATGAATTAAAAGTTAGCTCAAATGTATATTAAGGCATAGAGGCTTAACTTACCCTAAGGGTTTATAGTAGTGGTGGTGTAGTGGAGCTATTGAAATAGCTCGAGGGTGATTGGGTGGTGAGGAACTTTAACATAGTCTAAGCAAGGTTAGGCTTTTTTATCTTTGTTGTTTAATGCTAGATTATAACATCCCAGCCATCCTCAAGCCACTCTACTCCATTACTCATATCCCTCCTTAGGATTAAATTGACTTGCTAATCCTATACTTAGCTTTAAACCCCAACCATCCTTGAGGCACTCTACTCCATTACCTTTAAATTAATTAGGGTTAATTGACTTGTTAATCCTATACTTAGATTGTAAATGAGATTATGGTGTTATGAACTTGAATTTAAACTTACCAAAAGGCTACTTAAAATAGTATTATTTAAACCTAAGGACGCTTAACCCCAAGTAACCTAAAACTGTTAAACAATTGGAAAAGGAAGTGCACTAAACTCTTTCCCTTTATATTTAAGCTTTCATGGATCATCTCTCAAGTCATTTTCTTTAATTCCTTACACTTAGTGCATAAATTGCACAATGTGTATTAATGTGGATCTTAAGGAGATTGAGGTTGTACTTTCTTTGTTTATCTATAGAATACTATGGAAGGCTAAAGGATAGCCATAGGTTATGTTAGAAATCTATAATTAAGATTTTAGGGGTAATACTTTAGGACCTCAAAGGGAAAGCTAGTTTGGTATATGGTTTGTGGTTGAGATGTGTAATGAGTAGCCTATAGTTTAGTTTAATAATAGGTTTGGAAGAGGAAATATTATTTGGATTTGAGAGAATGTAGGGTTTAAACCAAAACTTAGACATTTTCTTTACTTTTCTTTTTGACAAGTGAAATAGAAAGAATATATTATTTGCATCAGTTGCATATTCATAATTAGTTTTAGAAATTTATCATATTTAAAACTAGTAGCCCATGGACTTCAATCTGAATAAGAAAATTGTCTTGAGACTCTAACCAAAAGCATTCTTTAATATTAATAGAAATGAGAATTATGATCCAAATTTAGGACCCATAAGAAGGAATCTATTATCTATCTATTCTATCTTTGCAACTAAAGTAAAGAGCTGAAAACTCTTACTTGAAGCTCAACTATTTTCAAAATATGGCTTTTCATGCTTTTTCTATGGTTATAACCCAACACAAAACAACAACGATAAAAGTGTCTAGCCTCACCTAAACTATGATATACTTCCTTACCACCCAACCACCCCCAAACTACCTTAAAAACTCCACCCCACCACCACTGTCATGAGCATCTAGGGTAAGTTAAGTATCCTTAACCCTAAGACATTTGACCCATGTTAACATGTGGTCAAAACTGGTGCATAACAATTCTTCTTCTAACAAAGTCCTTGTCTAAGGATGAGTTGTACTAATGGTCAAGGAACTCTGCTCAAGCTTTTGGGCTATCATCCACAACCTTATACATCAAGGAGTTACTAGACCATTCACTCCAAGATAATATACCTTTCAATTGATAAACATAAAATAGATGAATCCAATAGAAGCTTGTTAATATAAAGCAAATGAACATCCTCCTGAAGGTGGAAATGTCCCAAAGAAGGTGGTAGAGCTGCAACACTTGGATCAATGTAGTACTTACAAAATATATAGCAATAAAAACATAAGGACTTTATTGGGAAGAGAGTGTTCACTTGAGAACACAATCAACTTGATTGCAAAGACCGGATTCAATATGGGAATATCTTCTCCATAATTTCTTATGATCAAGCTATCAATGCCCATGGTTGATAGAGCTTATGAAACTGTAATGTAGCTCTTATATTCCTCAACCAAGAGCTCTCTCTCTCTCTCTCTGTCTGTCTCTCTCTCTCTGTGGTGTATATGTGTGTGTGTGTGTGTGTGTGTGTGTGAGAGAGAGAGAGAGAGAGAGAGAGCTTGCAGCTCAAAATGTGCCTGATTGCCTTAAAAAATTTCACTTGATTTAGAGTGTCATTATAATCAAAATTGAAGCATTGCCACCCTTTTGGCACATGATCTATGCTGTCTCTTTGAAGTTTTTAAACTTTTAACCATTAGACCAAAAGTATATTCCTAGCTAAAAAAGGAATATATGCTGTCTAAATGCTAGATAAAAATAGTAGATTTAGATAAGTGAGTATGATATGAGTATGATGATGATGATTCTACAGAAGTTGTCATCTATAAAGGAGAAAACTTGTCACATTCAATCCATACCTATATCAAAATCCTACCTTCTGCATCAAAACTTTTATTCACCAACTATATGTAGGCATTACTCTAGCATAACCTATATTGAGCACATGGAACTTTATAAGTGTAAACTTTCAAGAATTTTGACTTATAAATGTAATAATTGTTGGATTCGGGGTGAGAAGATTTCTAGCTGCACATGGGCAAAGATTTATAGTGAGCAGCACAGCACATATGGGTGAAGATTTCTAGTGAGCAGCACAGCACATATGGGTGAAGATTTCTAGTGAGCGGCATAGCCCACATGGGCAAAGATTTCCAGCGGTGGTGTGGGTGTAACAGTACAGCACACACAGTTGAAGATTTCTGGAGGTGGTGTGGGTGGTGTTGAGTGGCATGGACTAGGATTGTGTGGTGGCAGGGAGCTAGTAGAGGAGCGGTGCTGCACTAGTGGGCAGCAGTGCACAGTATGGTGGGAGGTGGGAGGAGTGGTGGTGGGTTTCCTGATCGTGGTGGTGGGAGGATTGGTTGTGAGAGTGGCAGTATGGCAGAGGAATGTGGCAATGGTGGTAGCAGAAGACAATGAAGTTGGTGAGTCTGAGGAAGATAAGGCAAGAGAAGCAGGGGAAGATGATGGCATAGTCGATAAGGATATTGAAGTCAAGCAACTTCTTATGGTGCTAGGTGAAGCTAGATGAAACTCAGGTTCCAATTATGAAGCAGAAGAGGTTATTCAAGCTCAACTTCCAAAGCTATGCAAGTGCTCTTGACAAGCTTTACGAGCTCAAGATCAAGGCTAAGATACCATGTGTGTGGAATGGTTTCTTGAAGCTCTACAAGGAAAAGGGTATGGCTTTACCTGATAGATGGCATATGTGTTTGGGAACTGCTCAACATCCACATCATCCAATTTCTCACCCTCCAGCTGCTGAAGATCCTCTGAGGCGATGTTTCTCTTCAAGCCATCCAGGTAAGCTATCACTCTTGATGTCCTAACTATTTGATGAATTCAACAAGGTGTGAGAACCAACTTGAAAAAGGCATTGACTGGTTCCATGTACCATTAATGCAAGAGCTTTGTCATCTTTACATGACAGGATCCTCACTACACTATGCTTACATTCCTCCTGAGCTTTAGCATTTGCAAAGTGATATAAGTTTTTTACTTTTTGGAGAGTAGAAAGTCTTGTTTTCTTAGTTCTAGGTGGATGGTGCTGTTTCAACTCGAGCAATATTTGCTTCCAGACTGGTGATCATGTTGCTCAAGCAAAAATGAGACTTGCCAAAAGTTGTGGCAGAAACTTCAGTTGGAGGTCTAAGCCTGAGTTTGCGCTCAGAGGCACACAGTACACGTATGGCAACAATGGGGTGTTTTTTTTTCTCTTTACATCTCTTTGAAGTGCTTTTCTGGTGATTATACATTCAAGCACTTTGCTAGGGCATATGCCCCTTTCACTTGGTAACCTTAGGTTCTTAGTGTTCAGCCACACCTTATCCCTAGGTTGGAACTTTAGTTTAAAACCACTACACTGGTCTGTTGATCAGTTTGAAATCATCTATGATGGCTGATTGAGTGATTTGGAGTGTCACTCATATCTATTTTAAGCTGTGGTGGCTTGTTTTTGTGACAAGGGAGGGATGGTGAAGGAGAAGCGAAAGCCAAGTATGTTGAAGAGCTCATCATGCTGAACATATGCTATCTGTGTGTGGCAGAAAAAATAAAAAGAAAACGAAGATGGATCAGCTCTGTGGAGCATCACCGTGATCCACGTATATGTATAGGGTTAGGTCATATGAGTACGCCCTGTGTTGGTGATTGTTTACGTTTTCCCCTTATAGTTCCATCAAGCTTTGCTAGATAGAGAGAAAGAACATACCTTAAGCCTTGAGTGCGTCAAGGAAGCTCTAGGACTCCAGTGAGATATTCTTCACGTTGTTGCATCCTCCTAAAGCATAAATTAATTGAAAGGTCTTTGAGGCTTCAGCTGGCGGCCAGATAAAAATGCGAGATTCATACACAGTAATAATAACAAACGCGTCAACCAATAGCAGCATTGTGAGCAGCAGGAGGAAGATGGTCGTGGAGTGGTCACACGGAGGAGAGCACTTATGCTGAGGTCCTGCCATAAGATCGCACTGCCCTATTACCGAGACATAAGAAACGACATCACTTTCTAACATGTTGGCATATTACCTCTTATCTTTCAGCCGTTGACTAGATTTGACCGTACACCTCAGATACCAAATTCCCTTACAGGAATGATGATGGTCACGGATGTAAAATAGGCGACCACCTCAGTTGTTTGTTGGAGTGTGCTAGACGTTTCTGTAGGTGAATGTCCATTTATATAATGTGTGGAGCATGATATAAATTGATTGGCACCTATGAAACTTGATGGGCATGCCATTCCCACTCTTTCTTTAATGTAAGAATACATTTTCTTAATGCAATGTACCATCATAAAGCTTCAATCTATGTCAATATCAGCTAATTCGATTTCTTCAAGTTTACCAAGGCCTTTCATGTTCTGCATATTTTTACTTTAAAGAGTGTAAAATTTCAGTAGGCTACCTCAAGGTATTGGTGAGGCTCGTCTAAGCTAGTAGAACCCAAAATGACTTCCCGTCTTAATTTTAAAGTTAGCTTGTGCATAGCTTTTAGCTGTTGATCAGAAGGTTTAGTCGTTGCCTTGAAATATAAGACACAGACCTCCACTCTAGTTGTACCTCCAATAATAAACACGAAGATTCTTTTGCCTTCAACGTTGGCACTTGATGCCGTCTCACTGACAAAACATCTTTAGTTCATCGATTATCATAATCCGACATTTACCTTCCAGGGTTATCATCTGTTGCGTTTTTTGTTGCCCATGTAGACTTCCTTGTACGCATGGACTGTGGAACCTTATGACTGGTAGCAGGTGTAGAAGTGTTTCGCATGGATATAGGAACGGGCTCTTTAACAAATGGAAAATCTTCTTTTGATAGCTCTCCCTTGTGGAGCGCCCCAACGATGTCCTAAAATTCATCAAGGATTTCTAAAGCTCTTAACTTGCCTGGCCATTACCTCAATCACGGGGTAGAAACGAGAAAAATCCCAAGTATCAATGTCCTCTTTTTTTTCTTTTCTTGATGGTGCCTACCATTGAGATATCGCCCAAGAAACACAAAATGCAAAATATGTTTGGGATACCTTACGACTTGATTTGAAAAAGCCGCCAGAGTGTTTATCTAATAGAGGGACACCGAGAAATCGTAGATTGTTAATAATATTCATGTCAGTTTCTCCCAGTTTAGCTAGCTGCACGAGTTAACCATGAAATTTTTGCAGAAACCAAATAAGAGCGACCTTCATCCACTGTTGACGCTTGATGGCATCCAGTTTATCAGGATGTGCACTCGCATATATAAGCAGCAACCGTAGTTTGTTTTCCAGAGACATATCCTGTAGGCAGAAATTTAATAAACAGTAGATCACATGAGAACTAACCGGCTTGATGTTGAAGAGTCTGACTAGCTCTTTACTTGATCCTCCTCCAAAGGCAAAATCTTGTTCCAGAGCGGCTATGTCGCTAAGCGATTGTTCAGATATTTTTTCGTTCAACACGGTTGCAATCTGTGTGGTACATACAGTATATTCAAGTGGCTGAACATAAAAAAAAAAATGAAGAAAATAGTACCTGAATATGAAGACTTAACTTGTCGAGTTGCTCACGAAATTGAGGTAGAGCCTGGACCAGCTTTTGCATGTCTCTTGTCGATATATCCTGACCCTCCCTATTAACGTACACAGTCATTCATCCAGGTGTCTTCGAGAATATAAACGTACTTTGCACCCAGACGAATTTGTGCCGCCTTATTCTTTGAACCAAACTGATTCATCTTGTCAGTTAATTTCAAATTTGCCTGTAGAGCTAGAGAGTTTAGGACAAGACCAGAAGATTTTTTAAGAACCTCTGCAATGTGTAGATGACGCAGTTCAACCCAAATTGGATCATGCTCTTCAAGAAGCACTTCTTTCCGTTCCAACTTGTCTCCAGTTGTTATCTTCAGAAAAGAAAAGCGCTTCAGGGCAGAAGGCAAGAACTATAATCCTCACCTCATAAACGTATTTGTTGCCTTCGATGCCTAGAAGATCATGGCACATAGCATCATACGTCCACTCATGTATAAATGGCGCAACCTAAACGACTCATGGAAAATGGTGGTCCTAACGTTGCATCTTACCGTATCAACACTTCGATCAAGAATTAAGAGGTCGCAAGTTTCGGATTTGGGAAAGTCAGCAAGAGCTGATTTGTACTTTGCTAATCTTTCTGAAAGTACTGCAGCAACCTTAGCAGAAAGCAAATTACGTGCGGCTGGAAGTTCATCTTCTGAACTCTGAGCATTAGGGGCTCTAAATCGCACACTAGGATACTCCTAAAAGTAAAGTCATCAAACAAAAGAGCATAGACTCGGACTTACTAACCTTTAGGGATACAAAAACAGTAGCTAGGCGGGTACCTATCGTGTCGATCATGGCTTCATAATCTGAAGAGGTATCGCTATTCTCCCCAAAAAGTTGTTCCAAAGCCATGGCATTATCAGTTACAAATCCCTATATATAAACTTCATTACGTTGACACAAACAATCAGGAAGACCACCTGTGAATCGATGGTTATATACTCCAAGTTCATCTGTTGTCGTGACAATGAAAATCCATACAATTAGTTATAAGCTACCTCTTTAAGTGCTGCAAGGCGTTGAATCACTGTTTTCTCGCTTTTGATAATATTGAGGAGATCTGGCGTAAGAGATGAACTTAAGAAGATGTAAGCCCTGAAACCACCAGTTCTCTCTGAGATCAAGCCAAATCGCTTAAAGATTAGCTGGTCACCTCTTATATAAAGGAAACTTTCCTGACATATCGCTGATGATTTTGGTAATGCTGGCACACAACCAGTTTTGAAAATGTGGATGCACTTCTCTACAATACCTCTCGTTTGTAGCTCTTACAAAGTACACCGCTTCAAGAGTTGGCATTGGTTGCCTTTTCTTGTTCAGATCCTCAACCACTGCGAGAAGAAATTTAGTAATGCTTTGCCAGCTAGAATGTATGCGCACATGAGATGCCTTCATCGGTTATATCGGCCATCTTACACGAAGATGACATGACTCTGACAGTCAGCTCATCGATGACAAGAACCTGATAATGAAGGTACAAATACGAAACCAAGCAAAATCAGAAAGAACCTTCCAATCGTTTGGGCTGTCACCACTCTTGACGCTGTGAAGCATCTCCTTTAGCAGTCCTGAAGTACCTCAACAAGTCGACCTGTAAAACATAAATTTCAAACAAAATGTACTCACGCTCCCGTGTTGAATGGCGGAAAGACTTGTAAGGAGCTCTTGCTGACGGTCCACTACCTTCTGCCATGGAAAGTAAGAGGAAAACCCTAATCTCTTGACACCGACAGCACATTAGAAGAATATGTTTCGTTGCCACTTGGCAATGTCCAGCGAGATTTGAAGTGCCGCGGCAGAAATGACGGTGCGATAGAATGTTTAAGAGTGCACACAGACACACAGACACACACACACACACACACACAGACAGAGAGAGAGAGAGAGAGAGAGAGAGAGAGAGAGAGAGAGAGAGAGAGAGAGAGAGAGAGAGAGAGAGAGAGAGAGAGAGAGAGAGAGAGAGAGAGAGAGAGAGAGAGAGAGAGAGATGGATTTAGCTCCTGCAAGACCATGGGTTCCAAAAGAACAAACTTACTTGGATGCATACAAGAGGCGGATGTACAAACCTTACTACATGAAGCCGAAGTTTGACGTTTCAGAAGCACGCGGGTTCATGGAAACCTTTGAGACACATGAACCCCAGGTAACTCTTTGAGCTAGCATGCTTTACCTTGCAAACCTGCATATCTATTCTTTTCAGTTTAGACCCATTAGGAAGTACATAAATCCCGAAAACGGGTATGAGACGCCTTGGAAAAGTTGCCGTGGCAGCGGACAGTTTGACATTCAGAGCCGGGTCATTCATGTAGACAAAAATGGAAGCATTGTAACGCCATCAGGCGAGGTAAGACGACATGAGCACAGTTTGTCGTGCTAAATTTGTCATGCTATGTAGTGGTGGAAGAAGGGTAAACGGTATTTAATACCAACAAGCGGTTCTTGGTCAGAACCAGCGTTCAAACCATCACTACGCTACATTCGCGCAAGTCTTAGTGACGATCAAATATGGAGGCCCTGCATTCGAGTTTACAGAGTGGCAAGGCCTCACTATTTCAACTCCAGACCAATACGACGTCGTTATCTTCCTCAGCAACCTGGCTACGATGACAAGTACGAGCGCCTGACTTCAAATGAGGCTTATTCTGGAATATATCACCCCCGAAAGATCACGAGCATCAAGCCAGAATGGCTGGGCTTTTCCAACAACGGAGTTCCATATGTAAGCTAGTTTCGCTTATGACCACCAATTTTCTGTTTTCTTTGTCGCTTCAGCTGCGGCCTTTCAGAAAAGGAGTCACAATGTACTTGCGTCGGCATCCACATATGTGCTTGTTTTCACCTGATCCACCTATTATAGTAGGTACACTTTCAATTTTGGGCAAGAATTTACCTTTGGCTAATGCAGAGAAAACCACTGACGAAGAAGGTTACTGACTATTTTCATAAACACCCACAGTTGCAGCTCTTTAGTGCTGACTTTCGACCTGAGCTTACAAGTAAGTTCACCTTTTGTGGCAACGGTAACCTCATGATTGAGACCGTGCAGGAAGCCATCCATCATATGTTTCTACAACCAGATACAACGCTGGAGGACGTTACGATCACTTTGAGGACTGTAGCGTACGACAATTAAAGATTTAGTGCCTCTTAACATACCGTGTTCTTGTGGCAGTTCACAATACAGCCAGATGTACGGCTACCAGAACCCCTTGGAGCTCAACCGGTTCCTGATCACAGTCCCCGTATGATCCACAATCAGTATTTGATGTAATTCTTTCAGGTCTCTTCATAGTTAACCCATAAGTGCTGACTACGCAGCCTATTCAGAGGTCAAACCCATGTCAAGTCTTGCTGGGGATATAGTGGGTATTGATATTTTTGAGGCCAAGCCCACCAGGCTCATGGTACGTCCTTATTAGCCTTTTGCTATTTATCCCTTAATACAGAATGATCTAATGCTTCTTTCTTCTCCAGAGTCCACGACTGTCTCAAAAGCCTTCTGTAACTTTAAGTTCAAACGTAAGTCCTATATCTTTTCTTCCTCCATTTTAGGATTACCGGGGTTGGTAAAAATTTAAAATGAAAAACGAGGAAGGTAAAAATTCATCCATGTATCCAGTACAAGTGTAACTATGAGTACTTTACTCTTTTTTTATTTGAGCTTTATAATGTGTTGCAGGAAGGCACGAATCAAAAACATCAGGAGAAAAGGCCACAATCCGTACTGGTGAATTATGATAATTTATGATCATTATGTATATTCCTGACTTAGATTTTTACAGAATACTCAGGAGGGAATCCAGAAAAAGAAAGGGATGGAACAGGTAAACTTTCAAAATAGCAGAGGCTTCAAATCATGTCGTAGGTACTTGGTCCAGAATGTTCACTCAAGATTTATGACAGAGTATATGAGGTCTTTCAGGCCGAAGTATCTGGTGAGCTTTTTTCGATATTGTTCAGAACGAATGTTTTATAATTCTTCACAGCCTGAGAAAGCTAAAGCATCGCTACAGCCATGGACTGCTTAAAGGTCTGCTTAAGGATAAAAATTCTGCAGTGTCACCTTCACATTCAGTAAGGCATCATCGCCTGTCCTTCTCTTTCAGAAATAATATTCCTTCCCTGGCGTGAATTCAGATTCAATTATACTAAATATGGAATGCTATGACATGAGCACAAGTATGTGTGAGCGTGAAGGTTAGAATGCATGAGCCTCAAAAGGAGTTTGCACGTATAGCTGTATGAGATTGCCAAATGTTGCTAGCTGTGAGTAGACATCAAAATAGGTTTTAGTAATGGTATAATTGTTAGGTGCCACCTTTGATCACATGGTCAACACGTGTCAAAGGTAAGTTCAAGGGTACATTAAAGTATGTTTCCTTAGTATGGCCAAGTTTGCAAAAGTGGTTGCAGTTGTTGCTTAAAGAATGTGCCATTGGAATACAACAAGTCTTCAAGTCTTTGTGCTCTCATGTTTTTCGTTGATTTTTCTTGGATATTTTTTATTAGTGTGGCTTTATAAGAGAGACGGTCCTTCTTAAGCATTAATGATGCTAGTCATTTGTGAAGGAACCAGCATTTATCTTGATAACATTGTTACTTTCAAGCTGAGTCCCAGTCTAAGTGAAGATGGCGGCAATGGTCCAACAGCAACTCCCAAATGTGAGCAGCCTGATATGCCTGCAGTCTCTATAGCTGAGGATACTTCAACAATGACTCCCTGCAAGCAGTTATCTCGCAACCCCTTCACAAGGATGACCTTTGATGGTGCAGATCCTTCTGGATTCTCAGAGTAAAAATTCTGAATCTGCAGAAGGTGGAGAATACAATGCATCGTGTTCTTCCTCGGTGAGATCCATGCAGTGAGAAAAAGGATCAACAGTAATGCCGAGAATGCTGCCACCACACCTTATTTTGTAAGCAAACAATGTAGGTGGTGAAAACAGAACATGTATTTTTTCCCATACTTGTCCTTACTCGTGGCATGGGGAGTCTTCAAGACTGTTACATACAGTTTCTGAAGACGTCAACGGACTTTTCAGCCATCTTTCTGAGTCTCTCTGACAGACTAGATGCTTCATGCTCCTGGAACTCTTGAAAGATTTTGAAGTATGTACAGTTATGTTCTTCTTTAGTGTCAAAATAAGGCCTATAAATTGTGATTCATTTCAGCATTGGACATTACAATATCAAGCACATGGTTCAAGCGGGATTAATTACAGAGATTCCCGACTTTAAAGCTTTTTTCAAGGGATATATGAGGGACATGCTCACAGGTCACACAGAGCCACTTCAATTTCACTTCAGCATGCGTGGCTCTGTACTTGTCATGCGGGATAAGATGAAGGACTGGGACTGATAAGTGGTATATCCTTATCACTTCCTGATCATATGAAACGAGCTGCGAAGGATTTCTTTGCAAGGAAAGAAAGGTATGTAAATCCTAACTCTTAAATTGCTTTCCTACCTAAAATTTATTTCTTTGTTGCAGTGATGAGGATTAATTTAACAAAATCTATGATAATTTTCCAAAACTCCACTAAATCTTGGTTAAAAGAGTATTTCTCCAACTTTGTAAAAATATGTTATCAAAAATGTTAGAAAATAAGGCAAATATGCATTTGATATTCTGCTTTCTGTATTCTAGATAGCATTCTTTTCCTAAGAAATACACTTTGAATCTTTTTTCCATTCAGATGGAGAAGAGGAAACTATTGCGTTACCAAATGCACAAAAGCATTCTTTAAATGACACAACTTATTATCCAATGCAGTTCCACATTGTTGTCCTATTATTATGGGAAAATTAAACTGTAAGTACTAACGATTTGTTTTGTTCTAAGTTCATTCATTACAATCTTTTGACCACCCAAATCCCATAAGCAGTACTTGAGGATGTGTGTCTTTGATGCAGGCAATCCTCCATTGCTTAGAATAGCTTTGGCATCTAAAAATTTCCTGTCAGCTGCTCTGAATATGAGCTTTGTCTCATGTGCAAGTTTTCTCTTGAGCTTGTCGGAATGTCATAAAAGGACATACAAACTTTTGTGTATCTTAGTTCAATCATTTATTCTTTTATCAGTGACTCCAATTGGATTGAGTAGGTTCATCCCTGAAATTACTTGCTAAAGCATGGTTGAAACTGCAAAGTTATCCTCCTAGTCTAAAGGAGAATAACTGAAGGGAATATATAAAACCAAAAGTAAGTACTAAAGGGATAGAACTAAACCATAGGAACCAAAGGGTATAGCCAAAGGTGGTTATGCAAGTTGGGAGTGGAGAATTAAGTGGGTGTTCGAAAGTGTTGTTAGTAGCAACTGTGGTACCATGGTGAGTTTAAAGTATACAATTGCCTATTTTAGATCATATAGCAATTAAAAAACTTGTGAAAGAAGAAGCTTAAGCAAGCTAAGGAAAAGTACCCCTTCCATGTTCCTGAAGGCAATTCTAGGAAAGTTAGTACTTACAAACACAGGAATAAGATTGCACAAAATTAAAGTGGTGTAGTAGAAGTATAACCTTGAAGCTTGCCATGAGACAAGGCTATCAAAGTTTAGGAAATAGTTCTCAAGTGTTCAAAGAGATGGCTTTTAACAAAATTCAATGTTTGAGGACTTTCACATTTATGTATAGAACCATATTATGCTGGTTAGGTGAGTTGCTAAGCAAGATTGGTAAGTCGGAGGAACAAAAA